AAGGCAGAGCAGCTCCATGCGCCATGAATCCGATGGAATTCCGGAAGAGCCAAGGAGAAGGAGGAAAAAGAGGGGAGAAAAATCGCAGAATTGGGGAAAAAAAAAATATCCAGTGAGCTGGGGGGAAAAAGTGGAAATAAAGGGGGGAAAGAGAGGGGAAAAATAGAAAAAAAAGAGGGAAAAAAGATTTAAAAAGAGGGAAAAAAAGGCAAAAAAAGAGGGGGGAAAAAAGAGGGGAAAAAGATAAAAAAAGTGGGATAAAAGGTAAAAAAAGAGGGAAAAAAGATTTAAAAAGAGGGAAAAAGATAAAAAAGAGAAAGGGGGAAAAAGGTAAAAAAATAGGGGGAAAGGGCAAAAAAGTGGGGGAAAAGGCAAAATAAGGGAAAAAAGATAAAGAGGGGAAAAAAGAGAGAAAAAAGATTTAAAAAGGGAAAAAAGATAAAAAAGAGGGGGAAAATATTTAAAAAGAGGGAAAAAGGATTTTAAAAGAGGGAAAAAAGATTTTAAAAAGGAAAAAATATAAAAAAAGGGGAAAAATATTTTAAAAGAGGAAAAAAATATTTTAAAAGAGGGAAAAAAGAGGGGAAACGCAACATAGGCATGAAATAACGGGAATAAAGCAGAAAAAAAAATGGAAATCTAAAAAAAGAAGGAAAAAATATTTAAAAAGAGGGAAAGAGGCAAAAAAATAGGGGAAAAAATGTATGAAGAGGGAAAAAATGTTTTAAAAGTGGGAGAAAAGATAAAAAAAGAGGGAAAAAGAATTTTAAAACAGGGAAAAACGGGGGGAAACACGACATCGGTGCGAAATAATGGGAATAAAGCAGAGTTTGAGTTTGGGGTGAGAAACGGGAATTTCATCCTCGCGTCCCTCCGGAATGGAGCTGGCAGCGGAGGGGAAGCGCGGAAACCAAAAATTCCGGAATTTTCTCTCCGTTCGTCCACGCCCACGAGTGGAAGCCATAAACCCAAAATTCCGGAATTTTCTCCCCTTGGCCACACCCAAGGGGAGAAGCCAGAAACCAAAAATTCCGGAATTTTCTGTCCCTTTGGCCACATCCGAGAGGTGAAGCCATAAACCAAAAATTCCGGAATTTTCTGTCCCTTTGGCCACATCCAAGAGGGGAAGCATGGGAAGCATGGGAACCAAAAATTCCGGAATTTTCTGTCTCGTTGGCCACACCCAAGAGGAGAAGCCATAAACCCAAAATTCCGGAATTTTCTCCCCTTGGCCACACCCAAGGGGAGAAGCCATAAACCCAAAATTCCAGAATTTTCTCTCCCTTCGTCCACGCCCACGAGTGGAAGCCATAAACCCAAAATTCCGGAATTTTCTCTCCCCTTGGCCACATCCAGGAGGGGAAGCCATAAACCAAAAATTCTGGAATTTTCTGTCCCTTTGGCCACACCCAAGAGGGGAAGCATGGGAACCAAAAATTCCGGAATTTTCTGTCT